GTATCCTCTCCCTTTCACCCCTCATTCCTGAAGTGTAACTTACAGAAAGAGAAGTGCACCTAATACAGTACCCAGCCCGATGATGGGTTTTCAAAACTGAACACACACCCGAGAGCTGACCCCCAGATCCCAGTGCCGCCTGGCCGGCCCCCCAGAGGCCTCTGTCCCGTTCCCCTGCCAGTCACAGATACCCCCGCCAAAGTGCATACCGCCTGTGAGTCCGGCAGCAGCGTGAAGGGCTGCCTGTTCTCACAGTTTATGTAAATGGCGTCAGGCCGTGTGTCCAGGTGTATGTTTGACTCCTAACAGTGCCTTTAGGTGGGAGAGACCCTGGCTTCTTCTTACTTTGCTCTGCGCCTCTTGAATCTTTTACTCGGAACCCTGAAGAATAAGCTTCCATTCTTTTATCTTTTCTCATGTTTTCTGGCAACTTCTAATTTTCCTAATTTCACAGCAATATTTCGGATCGTGCTTTCTCCTGGAACATACTGAGTCTTCGGCCATTGTACCCTCCAGGTTAAACTCTGGGAGCACCAAGAACTGGGGCACAGAGGGGAAAATAGTCTGTTTACCTTTTGAAAATTTTGCTTTATCTTCTCTCTCTATTCCTGACTCTGGGAGATGCTTTCTTCCCCTTTCTAGTTCAATAAACATACATGTGTTTGAGCATCTTCCTGTTGAGATTTGCCCCTCTGGTCCTGGGGTGGTCTTACATTTTGGGAATTGAAAGCTGTTCTGTTTCATCTCCCCCATCAGCGTGGTGTTCAGGTCCCGTGCGTGTCCAATTCACATAAACCATGGGGATCACAGCTTTCTGGATGTTGCTTCCTCTCCTTTGTCCTACAGAGGGGCAACAGAAAGTCAGTTTTAGCAGATGCTATGAAAGAGTAAATACAGCTCTTTTAGAGAATGCAAATAGTGAATTGTTTTGTGTAACTTAAACAAAAAGGAATTAAAACTGGTACGTGAATCAAATCTTTCCCTATCTCAAGGGAACATCAGGGAGGCAATGGCAAGTGGAATCTGTCAAGGTCAGCCTTTATTTAGAAATACAAGGAGAGTCACCTTTGTGATGGAGCATATCCTTCATCAGAGTAAACTCTTGCGTGCTGACACATAAAATTTCATTATCAGTGATTTATTTCCTCCTAGAAATGTCCCTTTGACCCTTTAACCTTCTTATTAAAGTCAGATACTCCTGAGGATGATCAGTATTTTCCCCTCATTCTTTAGAAGTGTTTCTCATTATTGGACTTCAAAGGCCATAAAAGCTGTCTCCTATCAATTGACAGACACTAAGTCATGTGAATGTGATATGAATATTCCACCGTGTTACCAAGGGATTGTTTTATTGTGAGTTCTTTGATTATTTACAAGGAAATTACTTTATGACACCCAGCCTCACACTTCCATCAGCTGGCCCCTCCTTGGCATTTTCTTGCACTGCGAGCAGCTTTCCAAAACCAGTTCGCCGGAGTCACATCGCAGAACAAAGCTGCCCAGCAGTTGAAGAGTTGGTGGAAAAGTCCGTTTTCTCTCCCCTTTTCTGTGTTCCCTGCTGTCTGTGAAATCTGCGGTTGGCAGCATGATGCTGGTGTGTTTGGCATTCTTTGGGCAGATGGAGCATCATTACAAACGTAACTGCATGCTGCTGTTTTAATTGTGTCCAAATAGATTATTAAATTCCAGAAATCAAAGCCATGGTAATAAGAACTGGACCTGAGTTCTCTTAAGCCAAGTAATTTAATTCCTCAGCCAGTTGAACTATTATGTATCTCTGTTCCTTGTTATTATGCTAGTAAATTGCTCGGGCAGATGCAGTGATGGATGACGGGTGTATATTTCACTTTTTTTTTTTTTTTTTTGGTGGCTGGACACCTGCTAGGATGCCGATCACTTGAAACACCGCTCTTCTCACAGGCATGTTTTCTGTTTGGAGCCTTAGGTGCAACAGTCGGGGCATAACGGGAGGTTGAGGGAGATTCCCGGGGGTACCCACAGTCCTGTTGTGACTGTCGCACCTGGAAGCACAGCGCTGTCTTCTCCCCAGATCACATAGATCACATACTGGGACCCACAAAACAGCAGGCATGCACACTGCATGGCTTCAGGAGAACACTGGTTTGGTTTGATTTTTCTCCCTGGCTTTACCTCAGTTTTCTACTTAATTTAGAGAACCGCGTAGTATTGGTGCCTGTAATTTGACTGAATATAGAAGAGAGTAAACTGGCTGGTGGGACAGTAGTACGACATTGAGATTCTCTAGAAAAATGAGGCAGGATACCGGGTAAAGTTCGGAGCATCTAAGTGAGCAACTGTTAAGTTCAGCATTCTTCGGAATTGTTGCCTTGGTTAGACTTCTGTGCAGGAATTCAGGTAATCAAGAAATAACGATGGCGCCCCATTTATCTTGAAGCAGATGAAGGCTTATACCATCTGATTAGTGGCAACATTTTCCCTTCTTTTTCTGCTTGGTCTTTTATGGAAATGTTAAAATAACTGGTTAGGGTCTGCTGTATTACACTTCATTTATTAACACACTAATAAATTATGATTACTGTTATTCTGCTTAATAAGTTCCTCCTTTTTCTCTAGCCACATGCTTCAACTTCTTTGGAGGTGTTCATTTATTATCCTTGCATCATATTTAATCAGAATTAGAAAGGTGTTCCACTTGTCAGGCGGGACACATTTCTATAGAACATCTATAAAATTTCCTTAAATTATGGGTTAATCCGATTAAAGGAATTCCTTCTAGTGCTGTATTCCATCTCCTTACATATCTTTTTCTTTTTCATCCTCCACAGAATTACTTGTGGCTGTCCTTCTGGCTCAGTTTGTGGGAGCCTCTTTTGCCTTTTTCCTTTCTGTGTTCCCACACCATGGAATCCTACTGTTCCCGTTCCCTAACGTGTTTGAAATCTGACTTCCTGTACACTGCCCAACGACCTTCTCCTTCTAGGCGAGAGTCAGCCGTGGGGTAATAATTCCCCCCTGTTTCTTTTTTTCTGGGCAAACCTGTCAGCATGGCAGCCCTCGGTCTTACTCCTGTGATGCTTCTTGTCAGATGAGACCCGTGGTAGAGGCTCTGGTAGGTTGCAGGCTTCCACCACATCTAGATCTTTTGTCATTATTGTTTCTGTGATCTGAGCAAGGATGCAACGTGTATTTCTCCTATCTGGCCAGATGGAGTGTGATAAATACTTCTACTATTTAACACCTTTCTATCCTCATTTACCATCTTTCAGATGCTCTTGACCATGTCTGCACTGCGGGTACACAATTTCCACAAGGATATCTTATTAGGGCTTTCTCATTTTGTTCCAGATGTACCCCTCTTCCTCCATCCACGTGTGCTGATTTATTACTCACCACTGTGCATCAGCATCTACATATTTAATGCCCTACGTATTATTTCTGATCCCCTTCCCAGTTGTACTGTGATTTACTGCCTATCTGTTACCATTCTTCCCAGTATTGCATATTCTAATGGTTCTGAGAATATCACCCCCTGACTTTCAGCATCAGTATCACAGAGGAAGTTATTAGAAATGCAAATTCTCAGGCCCCATCCTAGACCCGCTGATTCAGAAACCCTGGGGGATGGTGTCTGGTGCTCTGTGTTTCAGGAACCCTTCCAAGTGATTCTGATAATCGCTAACATTTGAGAAGCACTGAAATACTTCATCTGCAGTGTTTACGCAAGAAGCAAGAGTAGGGACCACAGCTGTATAGTTTCAGTAGGCATCTCTGACCACTGGATAGTACAGATTTATTCACCCCAGTTTTTTCTTCCTCGTCCATATCCAGTTGAAACTTTGAATTGCAATATTTGAACCAGTTTCCACCTTTACTAATTGAGTATCTACCATGCAGATGCTGTGTGGTATTTTCATATACATTATGAGAAGTCATCCGCATACAGCAAATTCACTTTGGGTATCCTCCTTCCTCTATCCTGTTTAATAGGCTTTATTTCTTTAGAGCAGCTTTAGGTTTACAGAAAATTTGAGCAGGAAGTACAGAGTGTCCCCCTCTCCCCCCCTCTGGCCACCCCCACATTTCCTCTGTTGTTAACATTTTCATGAGAATGGTACATCTGATCCAATATCAATACATTAGTTATTAGAGTTCACTTTTGTTTTGTACAGTTCTGTTGGTTTTGACAAATGCATGTGTCCTGTGTTCATTGTTAGAGTATCGTACAGAGTTTTTCACTGCTCTACGAATCCCCTGTGCTCTGCCTATTCATTCCTCCCTTTTTCACCCTGACCCCCCAGGAACCACTGATCTTTTTAATGGTCTCCCTAATTTTTGCCTCTTCCAGAATAGCATATAATTGGAATCACAGTGTACCCTTTTTGCAACTGTGTAAACTAAGAAGGGGTAAAACATTATAGACTTGGGGCACCTGGGTGGCTCCGTTGGTAAGCATCTGCCTTCGATGCAGGTCGTCATGATCGCAGGGTCCTGGGATTGAGTCCTGCACCCGGTTTCCTGCTCGGCAGGGAGCCTGCTTCTCCCTCTCCCTAGGCCCCTCCGCTCGTGCTCTCTCTTTCACTCGCTCTCTCTCAAATAAATAAAATCTTAAGGAAAAAAAAAAAAAACAGAACACTAGATCTGCTGAGCTGGGATTCCTGCTTCGACCGGCCGGCTTCAGGTCTCGCATGTGTGTTTTCTTTTTTTTTTTTTTTTAATTTTATTTATTTATTTGACAGAGAGAGACACAGCGAGAGAGGGAACATAAGCAGGGGGAGTGGGGGAGGGAGAAGCAGGCTCCCCGCCGAGCAGGGAGCCCGATGCGGGGCTCGATCCCAGAATCCCGGGATCATGACCTGAGCCGAAGGCAGACGCTTAACGACTGAGCCACCCAGGCGCCCCTCTGTGTTTTCTTTGATGCCACATTCCCTCTCAAATTACCAAAAACCTGATGGTTCCTCTCCCCTCTTCCTGAAATTTGTTTAAATGACTATTACTGTTATTTTTATTTCCTGCTCCAGCGAAGACAAAGTAGTGGAAGTAGCAGAGGAGGAGGAGGTGGCTGATGTTGAGGAAGAAGAAGCCGAGGACGACGAGGATGACGAGGATGGTGATGAGGTAGAGGAAGAGGCAGAAGAACCCTATGAAGAGGCCACGGAGAGAACCACCAGCATCGCCACGACCACCACCACCACCACGGAGTCTGTGGAAGAGGTGGTCCGAGGTAACTCACTGTTGACTTGGATCGCCTCTGTTTGGGGAAAAGGAAAGCTTCATACCAGAGTTTGAAATTTCTCTCCAGCCTACCACCACGGCCTCCCCCCACCAAAAATAAAATTCAGAGTCACAAGTCTTACGCTTGTTAAACCCTCTTGGGTCTAACAAGCTGTCCAACGGTTCATTTCAGATAACGTGACATCCTGATTTACAGCCTATTCTGTGCCTTGTGTTTGCTGCTTGGCATGTCCCCACCGGTTCTGCAAACCCTCCCTACCCAGCTGCCGCCTCTTCTGGCAGAGGCCAGGTTAGGTGACCTCCTTGGTACGCCCCTGGCCGTGGGTATTCCTTACACTCTTACTACCTGTTGCCTCTTTGCCGCCTGGACTATGAGCTCCTTGAAGGCAAGGACGGGCTTTTACCTAGCATCATGCAGAGGGCCTGCCTTGTAGAAGGTTTTAGATGAATCTTAGTGGAGATTTAGTGAATAGTTGGAATTAAATTTCATTAAAGAAGAACAACATTTGGGGAGTTGTCACACTACTTTTTGCTGGGAAATTTAACCTGGATGACTTTTGTGTTGTCTTTACACTGTTTTACTGGGGGGAGTGACAGTGCTTTCTTTGAGAGGTAGATATGGTGTTAATATCTTAAGACTTTGTGTTTCTGTTTGAGTAATGCTCCTGTTGAGGATGTTGTGACGTGAACGAACTAACAGACTTCCTTTTTTGTCTCCATGAAATAGAAGCAAGCATTGAGTTTACATGAAACAACCAAATGTTATTATAGCAACTAGTGAACTGTTGGGTTGCATTTCTTAAAGGTTAGGCGTTTGTTTTGCAAATGGTAAAAGATGGCCATAGAATTAGACGGGGTGAATACAGATGGGTGGAGTTTTAATGTATTCAGATACTTTTAAAGTCTGTCCACACGTGTTAGAATATTGTAAGTCTTCCTCTCACTTTTTATTAAGGTAAGATGAGTTCAGTTCTGTTGTTAAATCGGAGCTTAAAATGGGTTACTTTCTCTGCCTTAAGTAGATTTCTAATGATCACTGTACTATCTTCCGTTCACTGCACTTTTTATACCTTCATTGAGGTATAATTTACATATGAAATTCACTCATTTTCAGTATATAAGTGTATAATACAGAGGCTTTAATAAATTTACTAAATTATGCAACCATCATCATCGTCCCAGTGAGATTCCTCACACCCGTTCCATCGTCCCAGTGAGATTCCTCACACCCGTTCTTAGAACAGTTCCATCGTCCCAGTGAGATTCCTCACACCCGTTCAGTTCATCTTTGTTCTCACCGCCTGCCCTCAGCAACAATCAGTCCGCTTTATGTCTCTACAGATTTGCCTTTTCTAGACATTTAATATAAGTGGCGTCATACGTGGTATCTGTGTCTGGCTCCTTTCACTTAAAACTAGTGTGTTTGAGGTTCTGTGTTTCTTTAACTTGTAGCTTTTAAAACCAAGATGACTCCGAGTTGAGCGCTCAAGAGTTAACTTAAAAATTCACTGGAAGAGTCACATATTCTTTACAAGATAGAGTAGAAGATAGACTGTTTAACTTTATCGTTCCCTACTTAATGACAGCTTCTTCTTGCATTCAGCACATAAAGGCTTGTGTAAGCAGGTATCCATTTAAGGAGATGCACGTTTTGTTTGAGCCACGGTTTTTTTCAATACCCGAAGCATCCTTTCCCGGAGTGTGTTTCATGTGCCCCTTAGGACCGTCTGTGGTTAAATGAACTTGTTAGCTTCTATTTTCCTAGCAGGGAAAGGACAGGTTTTTCAGAGCTTCTCTTCTTGAAAGCTCCGGGATGTGTGACTACAGATCACAGCAGCTGGTATTCTACAGTGGCTCTGAAGTCCTGGTGATCTCCATCAAGAGAGCTGTTTACATAATCAACGCCCACTTACTCAACACTCGTTTCTGAAGCACCTTTTTGGTATAAGCCACTTTGCTGGGCTTAGTGGACCCAAGATGAGAACACACAGGAGAGCCGACCCTCATGGATGTTCAAATCTAGTAGGAAATTTAAGTCAAAGAAACACAAAAGTCATCTGTGTTTAAAAGTCTGAGCCTGGAGCCTACTGCAAAGAGTAAGGGATCAGAGAAGGCTCTACAGAGAAGGAGATGGCATCTGAATTAGAAGTAGAAGGGCTCGTAGTAGGTCTACCAACGGATTTTATTCTAGCATTCTTTAGAGGAACTCAAGATGGCAGCACAGGTTTGCCATAGGCAGGTCCATGGCATGTTTCGGAGACAAGGTCATCTAAATTAGGTTGGGGCTAAAATGTGGAGAACTTCAGTGCCAGGCTGGCAAAGTATGAGCATCAGCTGAGGGTGATCACTTCAGGACCTACCATGTGCTGAGGATTTTTCTGGTAGAAGCATTGAAGAGATTTTGTTATGATGTTACTGCTGTGAGGGGATGGGTGAACAGGGAGTAACATAATTAATGCAGTATCATGAGAAAATGCCACATAAACTTAGGCCGATATTCCAAACCAAGGCAGAGTTCTCTTGAGATAATACGGTCTTATGTTCTAAATAAGTCCAGTTCTTTTGCTTGAGTTTTTCTCTCAATGTGGTGTTAATTAGCTACAATAGAACATAGAGGGACATAGGTTACAGTATTTTCTATAGAAAGGCAAAGGCAATTAAAAGAAATTAAAAAAAAAAAAAATCTCCAGGCTAGAGAGTTGGGTTTTTTGGGGTTTTTTGTTTGTTTTGTTTTGTTTTTAAGAAGCTAGCCCTAAAAGATAACAAGTTACTAATGTTGATGGCAAGAAAAGCAGTAACAGTGACCTTCTAAACACACCATGTGGTCATTTACGGTACCAACTGTTAATGCTAGAAATAGAAGAGCTTTTATTTATTTATTTTTAATTTATTTATCTGTCAGAGAGAGAGAGAGCACAAGCAGGGGGAGCAGCAGGCAGAGCAGGCAGAGGGAGAAGCAGGCACCTCGTTGAGCAGGGAGCCTGATGCGGGACTCGATCCCAGGACTGAGCTGAAGGCAGATGCTTAACCGACTGGGCCATCCAGGTGTCTCTAGAAGAGCTTTTAATAGGAATCCATCCATCCCATGGAAGACTCCTGAAATGGACAGAAGTGTAATTGAGGCAAGGCTTTCTGGGAAAGAAACATGTTATGGTGTGTTGGGTCCATGTCAGAGAGTTTTCTGTACCCCCAGCTAACTCTCCCCGGATGATGAAGCCCAGCAATGCCATACCCGATTGCTGACTTTGTAAAACTCGACTTGTAAGGAGCCTACTCCCGTGCTGAAAATAAAAATCAGAAGCGACTTGCAAAGAAGAGATATTGAAAAGAGGCTCACAATCTAGTTTTCAATGTTAACGTTTCAGTGCCCAAGAGAAAATGTGATTTACAGCCCTATTTAATAAGAAAATTGTTTCTTCATTACCAGCATATTGCTACTAATACAATTCTTTAATGTGCTTCATAACACAAACTCAGTCGTTCTATAACCTGTTTAAATTTTAAAGAAATAGGTAGAGGGAAGGAAAGTATAGGACGTTCCGGCACAGTCATAAAATTTTCCACTGTATTGTATTAGAATGAATGGTGCTGAAGTGGGAAGATACCAGTTCTCACTCTGTTACCAATTCCAAGGGGAAAAGTGAACACCCTACTACAGCCATCTGGCTTTAGGATTTATTGGTTTGGGTACTTCAGGAAAACTTGGATATTGACCCAGTGGAATAAACCAATACCAGTTTGAGTAAAACAACAGTATATTAGATTCTTGCTCCTAATTTTCTGTGATTCGAGAAGGGATAACACTTCATAATCCAAGATGTCAGGGCAGTTTCTGACTCAACCGTGGATTCTAAACTCTGATTAAACTTTGGTATTATAATAAATGACTAATGTTTGATTTATTCTAGCCTGTTTTCTCCATCTAGAATTAGTCTGGTTTTTTCCTTCTGCTCATTTGTTCAGCAAATATTCACTGTGCCCCTGCTGATAGCCAGGCAGGCACTCCTACTGTGGAAAGTGTCGTGAGGAGGTAGCTATGTTATGAGATGGACTTGCCTACCACTCTAGGGCAGTTACTTCTATTTTCTAATCCTTCTAACTGTGCCGTGTGGTAGAAATTTTATTTCTCCCTTTACAGCTAAGGCCTGGAGAATTTTTTTTTTTTTTTTTTTAACTGTCCATGGTCACAAAGGTGGGAGGTGGTGAAGCCAGCATTCAGATCCAAGTGGGCCAGGTTATTTCTACTTCATTAATGTCTACGTTTTCTTTTTCCTTTTCCTTTTGTTTACAGACACATACTGGTTCAGTTTAACTTGTGCTCCCTGGTAGATGTGTATTCCTTTGCTGTAGTCATATATTCATCTTACTATTATCTCACACTGAGCCTTTCCTAAATTTGAGAATTGTTTTTTAAATAATAATGATGATGATCAGGGGTCAGCAGTCTATGACCATGGGCCATATATGGCCAGTCACCTGTTTTCTAATACAAAGGTTTTACTAGGAGACAACCAATCCCATTTGTTTACATATTGTCCATAGCTGCTCTCTTGCTCCAGAGACAGAATGGAGTAGTTGCAGGAGACACTGTATGGCCTGCAAAGCTAGAAGTATTTACTATCTGGGTCCTTACAGAAAACCCCTGATATGAGTCATGAGAAAAATATTAGGAGGGGCACCTGGCTGGCTCAGTTATTTAAGCATCTGACTTTTGGTTGTGTCTCAGGTCATGATCTCAGGGTCATGAGATCGAGGCCCCACACGGGCTCCACGCTCAGCGGGGAGTCTCCTTGAGATTTTCTCCCTCTCCCTCTGCCCCTCCCCCACCCACATGCTTGCACTCGCTCAAACAAATAAATTAAAGAAAAAATATTAGGAAGTTTTTATATTTCAGATACTACCCTACCAGGTTAATTTCATTAAAGTAGTTTTATTTTGGTTAGAGGCAGACTAGTAGAGTGTTCAAGAGAGAATTTTTAATGATTTTAT